CAGGAAAAACTGAATGGGTTAAAAATAACTATTGTTCAGATTATGAAAAATAGTTAAATATCCAATATTTTGAGTTAGTATCATAGCATGTATAGTTGGGATGAGCTCTATAGTTAATGAATTAGGCCCAGAATTGATTAAGAGGAAGAGAGTAAATAGATTGCATTTGAAAAATGATATAGTGTTTCTATAGATCATGAGTTGCTCTCTGGCGCAAACACCTATCTTTTCATCACAAATGCTCTTTGTACACAATAGTTGTGAATTTTGGATTGCCACAATTTCAAAGGCACTAAAGTTGTAGGTGACCCAAAGGACAAAGGATGTATAGTAGATGCAGCAGCCTATTTCCAATGATTATCTAAACTCAAGAATGAGTATGAGGGATATCTTTGAGGAAGTATATGAAGGGAAAGAGGAAAGGAACAAGCATTTATTAAGCACCTACTATGAGCCAATCACTGTGCTTTACAAATAGTATCTCATTTGATCCTCATAATAACCCTATGAGGTAGGTACTGTTATTATCCCCGATTTACAGATGAAAAAACTGAGGTATACAGAGGTTAGGTGACTCGTCTGGGATCAGAAGTATCTGAGGCCAGATTTGAGATTGGGTCTTGCTGACTCCAAGCCCAGTGCTCCATCTATTGTACTACCTCACTACTTTATGATCAGAAAAGGAGACAGATGGATAAGTGCAACAGGCAAGGAATAACAGATGAACAGGCTGAGGGAGTGACTAAGAGAGAGCAAGGGCAGAAATCTTAAACTAGAATCAGCAAGATGTGATGAGGAAAGAATAAACACAACAAATAGGCGAAGGCCCAACTTATGACCCCTGTTGGGGTTTTCTTGGCAGAGATACTGGAGTGATTTGCATTTCCTTCTCCACCTCATTTTACAGATGAGGAAACTGAGGCAAACAGGGTTAAGTGATTTGCCTAGAGTCACACAGCTAGTAAGTGTCTGAGGCTGGATTTGAACTCAGATCTTCCTGATTCCAGGCCTGGCCCTCTATTCACTGTACTAGCTACCTGCCTCATTCAACCTATAGAGAAGCCCAGTCTTAAAGAGGAAGGGGGAAATAAGGATGACAAGTAAAGTGACAGTAAAACCCTATGCCCTCTACAGGCTCTTTCATCTATGAAATCTATTTTAAAATGAAGACTGAGGTGCTTTGCTTAGGATAGCAAAGAAAAGTTATCTTGAAATGACTCACTCTACTTATTTTCTTTCCTATCAAACATCCTTTTTCTCCTGCTCAACTTCTACCCCCACCCCCTGCCAAACATACTATTGCTAACAGGAAAAACTAAAAAACAATTTGATAATTTAAAAATACTAAATATAAAGAACAATTAGCTCCTTCTTTAGGAAAACAATAAGAGAAACCAATCACATATTCCTTGGATTTGGAGGGGAGAATGGAGGGGAAGGCATTGGGAGGGGGATGCTTCATACTCAACAATCTAACCTGAGAATAAACAGATAATTTAAATTTGTCAATCTGACAACCAATTATTTTTCTAACTACATCCATCAGTACATGAGTGCTATTTTAAGATGAAAAGTTCATCAATTCAACATGTCTCCTATTTTAGTCTCAAAATTATCCCACACTTGGCTAAGCAAAATATTTTTTAAAAAATATATAAAACCTAGTTGCTTACTTTTAAAAAAAGAGAGAGATCAGCAAAGGATAAAACAATTTATTCAATCTTAATGATAATGAATGTTGCTGAGTTTAATTGAATCTGAAAACTGGAAACTTTGTTAATTATGTATTATTCCTGTTTTATGGACAGAAAACATTTTTACATTTGTCAACGGAACTATCACAGCAGGATGTGAATGGCAACAGGGGCCTGGCTAGTAAAACTGTGGAGCAAGGGTCAGAGTTAAATTGTAAGCAGAAATCTTGAGCCAGGACCCTCAGGTTACTGATTAATTAATTAATTAATTTCCCATACAAGTAATAAAGAAATCTCAAGAAATGCTGGTTCACATAAATTCTACAAGATCAACCTAGTCATTATTGTTGTTTATCAATGTTTCCCTAAAACTGGTATCTTGTAAAGAAGGGCCCTAGAACCCAAAGACAGGCATACAGTCTACTAGGCTAAATGCACAAATGTGGCAGGCCAGTCTCCATACCTTCCCACTTATTCCATACTCCACATCAGCTTTTTCTCCATATATGGGCACACTCTTTTTAGTCTAGACTCCCCAGTTCACTCCTCCTAACTCATTCAAGATTCTTTCAAATCATTCTGCTTCACTCTACACCCACACACTACCTTCTCTTAAACACCAGCATCAAGGATATCCTGAGCCTGCTTAAATAACCCAGGGGATAATAAGTTCTGAAGAGTTATGAGCCCTCATCAATTCTATGTATAGCTGATGCCATTTGGAAGCATTCTTCAAATATAACATAAGGGGCTTATATGCTTTGGGAATTTCCAGGGTAAAAGTTTCCAGAGTCCAGAAATGAAAAGATCTAGCAGTAGGGCTATGGTATCGGTGGTAACAGCTTTGATGTTTGAGTCAAGAGTGTGGGGAACAAGAGGTCAACATCTGGCTTCTTGGGAGTCCCTATTATCTGTGTTATCCAAAGAAAACAAATGAACAAAGTTCTGGGAATTGAGAGTTAAGGAGGGAGGGAGGGAGGCATCATTTGCCAAAAGCCAGAAAAAATTCTGTAAGAAAGAGGTTCAAATAGAGCTGTCAAGCAACTGGGTCTCAGTGGTCAAGGTAAGCAAAGGTCTAGAATTCAGAGAGTCCAGAAGAGTGAAATGAGGCCAGCCAGCAACCTGAAGAATGTGGGAATAAGCATGTTCCTAGGGCACCTAACACAGTGCTTGGCACATAGTAGGCACTTAATAAATGCTCATTATTGACTAGAGCAATATTGTTTTGACCTCTGGCCTCTCTATGCCTTCTGTTAAGGGGAGGTAGACATAGATCAACAGGTCACAAAATACCAAAATGTTAAGGATAGAAGAGGCCATAGAAATCACCTAATCCAACCCTTTCTATCTGCAGATAAGAAATATAGTAAGTAGTAAAGCCAAGATTTGAACCTGTTTTCTGACTCCAAGTCAAGAGCTCTTTGTACTACATCATATGCAAGAAGTAATTGCAGCTGGTGAAGTACAGAGGCTTCAGGTGTGCTGCGATCATAGCTACTTTCAGAGTAAGACCACCATAATGTTCTTACAGCAATCTTTTGTAATGTCCTGTAACAACATGCTCTTTGGCTATAGGTGACTAACTGGCCATTATTTTACCCATATTATACAACAATTGTAGACAATTATTATAAGGATATTATACAATAATTTCAGACATTTAATTGCAAAGAACCAAAAAACTGCATCACCTAGCCTACCATATCCAGTTGGTCGCAGACCTAAGATAATGATTCACCTTCACGGTTTATTCAGTCAACCACCCAGATCATCTTGCCATCTTCCTGCCATGAATGCTTCACTTATCCTCCACCTGTACCAGCACATTGCACACCATCCCTCTGCACCCCAGACTTCCAGAAAACCATGTCACTCTGTAAGTACTTATGGGTTAATCAAAAATGAAATCCCTAAACATTCTAGGTCAAAGAAATACACACATTCTGTAACATAAAAACGTGCCATCAGACGTGCTGGTTGAATTAAAATCAGCCATTTCACAATCATTTGAGAGCCTATTCTGTTTAAACATTGTGCTAGATAGGGAAGATTTGAAGAAATCTTTCATTTCCTGAGTCTTTGGTTAGAAAAGCAATTGAATCCCCCTTAAGAGTAAGATCCTGACATTTCAGAGGGAATGAAGCAATTAGATTCCCATAGACAAATCTGCATTAGTAAAATTTTATAAAGTATCCATATGTTCTACTAGAGTTACTGAAGGTTCATGGGCTATAGTGCATGATTCCAGAGTTCAAATGATAATTTATGATTTGATTCAATTCAAAAAGCATTTTATTAAGTGCCTACTATGTGAGGCCTACCTTTAAGGAGTTTGCATTCTATCATGAGGAATAACATATACATAGAATATTAAATACAAGAAAAGCTGTGTGGTATAACCTTTTACAAGGCATTTCTAATCATGAAAAGTTTGGATTCAATGATCTCTGAACTCCCTGTCATTTCTGAGCAGGAAGGAGAGAAAAAGAAAGGGAAGGAGGGTGGAAAGGAGGGAGGGAAAAAAGGAGGGAGGGAAGAAAGAAGGGTGGGAGAGAGGAAGAGAGGAAGGAAAGGAAAGAAAGGGAAGGGAAGGGAAGGGGGAAAAGGGAAGGAAAGGGAAAGGAAGGAGAGAGGAAAAAAAGAGAGGAAGAGAGGAAAAGGCAGAGAGAGGGAAAGAGATGTAAAGGAAGGAAAGAAAGAAGGGAAGAAGGAACAAAGGATTGAAGGGTACAGACCTGGATTGCATTGGTGTTCTAATAATGCCGGTTATCAACTCTTCTGAAATTTAAAGCATTAGAGAATTGTCTGGTGCACCAAAAGGTGAAGTGACTTGCCCCAGGATCACAGAGCTGATATGTGTCAGAGGTCACATCAACAACTTGGATCTTGATAATGAGGAAGGCTCTCTATCTACCACATCTTGCTGCTTCTCTTTATTAATACTAATGTTGGTTTTTATTAACCATAATGTTTTTTCTGTTTTCCTCTTTAATCTCCTCTCTGTCCTCTTGATCTAAGGGTGGCTCAATTTAATTTTTTTAAGCCAACTGATTAAACAAACACTAAACTGCACTTCTGAAAAGTGGAGAAACCCTACACAGAACTGCTATGGAAGTTAGTATTCGGCAAGTCTGCTGAGCTAGTCATCTTACAAAAACATTTAAGACTATCACAAAATTTCTTGGAAGATTCCAACCAAATGCATGGTGTCCCAGAGGGTGTCAAGTGAAACACAATATGTATCAATTTTGCCAACAAAAACAATCTCTGCTAGATGAAACAGAATTAGTTGGCTTTTTAACTCACCTCTCTTGCGTTAAGAGTGGGCTGAAGCCATCATCCAAAGCAATACAGCAGTCATCCTCTTCTGTTCCACAGGGAGAAGATTTCTGGGACTCCCCTTCAACAGCTGCTATCCCGTGGAACTCCTTCAGCAACCTTAGCTCATTAAAGTTGCTAGTAATTGGTTCAGCTCCCATATGTCCATGTACATTTGCACGAGCTGGAGCCAATGTTTGATTTAATTCCATTTCTAGTTCTCTGGAAACGACTCCTCCATCTTTGTTCTCCAAGTACATATTTCTGATGCAGCTCCTATCGCCTAAAAATTGGTCCAAAAATATACATATATCCAACTGTCAGTATCACATTATATAACTCTATCCTAGGACTTTCATGCCTCACTTCACTTACTTACTTCACTGTCTTACAGGTGAGAGAGCCTAATTATGAAGTCCTTTGATTGTTTTAGTAATGTAATCCCTTTGGATCAAGTGTTGTATATCAAATTGCACTCTAAAATTAAGAAAGCTAATATGAAGTTAAGGTACATTAATATTCAGACTCAGAATTTTCCACATTTGTCTTAGGTCACCATGTAAACTTATCACCCAGTAGCCTAGGTATTGTTGACCACACAGCAGCATAGATAGACCCTCTGAGATGAGTAGTTTTGGGGAGAACCATGTTTGCCCTAAGTAAAAATAGTGTCTAAATGAAAAACATCATAAGTGCTTCCGGTTAGAAAGAGGGCTGGATCAGGAGGTTGGAATCCATTCATGAACTTTTCTTGCTATTTCTCTATTTTCATAGGTTTGTAATAATGACATGAAAGAGAAAAGACAAGGGCAGAGGAGAGGGAAGGGAAGAGAGCACCTCAGAACATCCCAGTAAAAGAAGAATACAATCCAAAGAAGAACACATGATCCATTTTAAGTTTTCCTATTATTTTAACTAAGTTATCTTCCTACTACTAAAGTCATGAAGTAAAATATGCTCACTCATTTGAATTTCCAAAGCCCATAAACACTTTGTCAAAGGTAGGAAGCAAGTAATCTCATTGGGAAGAAAACACTGGGAGGTAAGAATAATAAGAATAATAATAATAATGTTATTGAATAAGCTGCCTGAAAGGAGCTTAACATACATAATACCTTCGTTAAATATTGCCTCTGACCCAGCTTATTTACATACTGAAAATATCTAAAACTGACCCAAGTACAGTAAGAATGCTAGAGTATTTAATGTCCAGATAGAAAATTATTCTCAAACCCTACCATCAACATAATAATGTCAAGAACATTATTCACATAAAATGTGGCATTTTGGGGGGAAAATGTAAGCCTATTATGGTTCTGCCTAGCCTTAAACCTATTATCATCTCTTATAAGCAGAAATAATTGGCTTCATATGAAAGGAGTTGAAGCTGTATCTTATTAACCATTTCATACATATGAATGACTCCAAGCTATATGGCTTCACCAAAAAAAAAAAATAATATTTCTTTCATCTTGTGGAATCTTTCTCCAATAGCACCAAAATGTCATTTGGTCTTAAGTAGAAAATTCTAAAGACTGAAGGATTCTAACATGAATCCAGAGGTCACATTGAACAAATGAATAAAAGTGATAACTAAAAATACTTTATTCTTCTCCAGGAAAGAGACATTGAGCATAAAGATATCAAGGCTAAAATTATGGCTAAAAATGTCAAGAGACATAGCGGCATTCTGAAGTCAAAGCTGAATGGGAAGAATACATTTTAGATCATTAATGCCTAGACAGTATCAATTTTATATATAGATAGATAGCTTTTGATATATATCAATCAATATACAATTTTTAACTATAAAATGAATGATAACAGATTTGGAAAATACCCCAACAAAACACTAAATAGTATTTACAAAACATAAGTCCTATCACGTAAAGCAACTATTAAAAAAAATTAATACCTCTTTACCAAAAAAAAGTAAGAGAATTGATCAGCATTCTTAGAGCAAATGAAAACAGGTCAAAAACCTACCAAAATATTTTTTGAATAAGAGGACATCACTTCACCACTGGATTTGTTGAATATTTACTGAAAGTGGCTTACTTCGTGAATGACTAAGAATCAAGAATGAAATTCATGGGTGGTCATCTGCATGAACTTGGCCAGAGGACCTTAAACAAATTGTGAAGTCACATGGATTTGTTCATGGAAAGGGAGGAGCTTATGATTGTAATTCAGGACCAAGCTATTGGACACAAGAAACTAAAGCAGGGTTATCCTTGGAGACCTTTGCCTTAGTTATCAAATCAGATGACACAAGGAAATGGTAAAGACAATGGTGAACACATCACTGTAGGCTATAAAACTGAACACCTTCCTAGCAAGACATGACCTGGCAGCTGAAATCACAAATCAGAAATTTTTAATGGACTGACAAACAACAAATCCTCAGATTATAGATAGAGACTTTAAAATATCCTGGTGAATTTAGCCAATAAACTGCATAATAGCCAGACAATTGTCACATACCAAACAGATGCCCTCAATTTCCTGGACTGAATTCATAGAAACATAAGAATAATATTTTTAATATATGTCATCATTTTTAAGAGATGACAACATCCCAAATACAATGTGTTTCCTGAAGAAGACATCTGTAAGGAACTGTAAGGATCTTTATCCACTGTTTTAATTTGGCCTCTAGATTCAATTTCAAAGACTTATGATTGGTATTCTTCTGGGTACACCTTCTGAATTTTACACTTTTCAAAGGTCTTATAAGGATTTGATAAGAGAGTAACAAAGAGTGATAAAGAGAAAAAGTCATGAGTCTTGAGTAGGAGAGACATATCACCAGGACTTCAGTATATGAATCAGCCTAATCTGAATGCTTGCAAAATGCCAGGTTGGTGAACTGGATAGGGGTGGGGGTAAAGAGAGCTTTCCAGGAATGCTGAACAAGTTGAGAAAAGAAAAGTTGGCTATAGGTTGAAGCAATGAAGGTGGCAATGAATTGTCTGAGAGGACCAGAGGAAAAAATAAGAAGAAATAAAGGAAATGGGGTGACCTAAGAAGCCTAGTGATAGATTTGGAAGCAAGTGATATTTTGGTTCTGATTCATGGTTCAACAAGAAGCCATCACAGAACTTCATAAAGGATAAATATATAGTCAATACAAAAAAATGGAGACTATATTGGTCTGACCATGTCATTACAGCTCACTACTACCTCCAAGATCAAGTAGAAAGTTTTCTATTTGGCTTGTAAAACCCTCTATAACGTGGCCCCTTCCTACTTTTCTAGCCTTCTTATATTTTATTCAGTTGTTTTCAGTTGTGTCTGACTCTCTGTGACCCCATTTGGGGTTTTCTTGGCAAAGATACTATAGTGGTTTGCCATTTCCTTCTCTGGCTCATTTTACAGATGAGGAAACTGAGGCAAACAAGGTTAAGTAACTTGCCCAGGGTCACACAGCTAGTAAGTGTCTGAGGCTAGATTTGAACGCCAGAAGATGAGTCTCTCTGACTCCAGGCCCAGAATTCTATCCACTGTGCCACTTAGCAGCAATCTTACATTTTACTCCTTTCCATGTACTCTATAATCTAGCTTTACTGGCCTTCTTGCTGTTACTTGAACAAGACACTTCGCTTCCTGATTCCATCCATGCCTTTTCACTGAATATCCCCCATACCCAGAATGTTTTCCTTTTTTATTTTCACCTCCTGGCTTCCCTAGCTTCCTTCAGAACTCAACTAAACCCAACATTTTGTAGGAAACTTTTCTTGGTCTCCCCACAACTACCAACATCATTATTTGTGATTACCTTCCATTTACACTATAGATATCTTATATGTACATTTTTTTTTTTGCATCTTGTATCCTCTATTAGAATTTGAGCTTCTTGGGGACAGGAACTTTCTATTTTCCTTTCTTTGTATCCCCAGAACTTAGCACTTAGCACTAACACATAACAAATCCTTAATAAATGCTTATTGACTGACTGACTGACTGGTTAGAACAGGTAAAGTGACAAACGTTGGTACAGAAGTCACTATCCTGCTCAAAAACCTGTCATGGCTTCCATTACCCAGTAAATTATGGCCATATTCCTTCCCAGTATTCAAGGGCCTCCATTACCTGGCTCTGCCCACTCATCCATCCTTATCTCTCAGCATTCCCCCAAATATACTTTTTCTACAACAACCAGGCCAGTTTTACCATCCCTTGAGAAGGGCGTGCCCATTCGTACCTCTAAGTATTTGCTTATGCTATTGGAAACTCCCTAAACCCTACCAATTCATCAAGACCCATTTCCAGTTCTGCTTATACATTGCTGATGAAACAGTAAAAAAATACAATATCTTTTCTTGATTACCCAGATAAGATATTATCTGGACCTTACATTTTTAGAACTTATTTATATTTAATTTTATTCAATTACCTAATATCTTGATCATTCTCTATTTTTCTTTTTAATTGGCTTTTGAGTTTAATTTCTTTGAAAAGACTGTAAATTCCTTGGAGGTAAGGATCTCCTATTTCATATATATACATATATATATTACATTAATTATGTGTTAATCTTATATGATTAATTACATATTAATGCATGCTTCTTTCTTTATTTCAAGATTTACTATTGCCTTCTCCGGAAAAATCACATTGTTAGCTGCTAAAAAGATACAAAATTTAGATAAAACAGTCCCTATCCCCAAGAAATTTAAAGTCTAGTAAGGAATAAGACAAAAAATATAGATAGCTATAATAAAAATAAAGAAAATAAGTAGCATTTATACAGCATTTTAATGGTTTCAAGGTGCTTTATAAATACTATCTCATCCTCTCCTCACAACATCTCTGGGAATTAGATTCTATCATCATCCCCATTTTATAGGTGAGGAAACTAAATAAGGCAGAAATGAACTGACCTGCTCAAGATTCCTGTAACTAATAAGTATATAAAGTGGGATTTGAGTTCAGGTCTTCCTGACTCCAGATCTGGACCACTTAGCTGCCTTTATAAGTAAGCACATAATAGTTGCTCAGTTAATATTTGATTGACAGCTGAATGGAGAATCTTGAGAAAAGGTTGAAGTAGTCTGGGAAGTAGGTCACCAAAGTGATCACCATGGTAGGAAAAACGATAAGAAAGGGTTTCAGAGGTGGGGAACCTGTGGCCTCAAGGCCACATGTGGTCCTCTAGGTCCTCAAGTGTGGCCCTTTGACCTCTGAATCAGGGCATGTCACTTGAACTCTCTGGGTTTCAGTTTCCTCCATTGGAAAGGAAGGGATTAAACTCAATGGC